GGTTCTGCTCCCGCTCCAGCCGCCGGCACAGCGCCGGTTCCAAAGAAGGTTGGGGGCCCGCCACGGACTTTGGGAAGTGGTCCAGCTGCGGAAGCTTCAGGGGACACCGATGACGCCCGAAGGAAAGCCGCAGAAGCTGCAGAGGTGAGATCGTCCCTTATCGCGTGACTGTCAAGATGTTCCGAGTCTCAATATCACAGAGGTTTTGATTAACTATATATTGCAGGCGCGCGCAAAAGCATCCTCAAAGCCAGGTGGAAAGTTGCAGACACAGCTAGCAGCACAGAAGAAACAGACACGCTCAGAAACCCTCAAGGACGCTAGCCAAGAGCAGCTGCGTGCGCGTGAAGCCGATCAAGCAGCTGAAGCACGAAATTGGGCATGATGATTCAGAGTTGACTCTTCAAGGGCATACAGGTCAGAGGATGAGGCAGAGTAGCTGGATCACGAGAATGTGGATGGGGAGGCAGCGTTTACACATTTTGATCTTCCCGTGGCGCCTAGCAGTTCCGAGATTTTCGTCGTTGTGCAGTTGGATTATTATTTCAAAGCTTTCTCAAGCACGATTATAGATGTTTTATTCGAAGACGTTTCAAGTACAAAAACCGGCGGGTGCAGCATTAACCAATGTTCCTTCAGGCCTTTCCACTGAGGCAGGCATGCGACGCCATTATTAACTCCTATTTGTATACATTTTCTTCTTCCTCAAACTTCCACCCGGCCTCTGCAACGCCGCCCAGGAACAAGCCAGTCCATACAAGTGTAGCGAAAGCAACGGGTGATGGATGCCTTCCAGCGAAAGACCCCATATGGCTACCTTAGGTAATTGTGTATCGTCCACTGGCTGGTGCTCGACTGTCGGCATCTGCTGCAGCGATCGTTCCCTCTCTTAATAGGCGTGTAAGTTCGCTGAGAGCGGATCCAACAACAACCTCGGTATCGCCTTCGATGAGAATATACAGTTTTGGTTCGGCTCCCGGGGGAACCTCTTTGCCCGGTGGGTAGAAGTTACCCTTCGTTGTGATCGACGTACCTGTAGCCTCCAGGATCTTGGCTACGTTGGTTCTGTTGGTGACAGCCCATCTGGCCTTTTGAGGGAAATCGTTGATTTCTAATGTGGCATGGAACGCACCAGCATCTGGGCCCTTGTTGTCGATGGGCTGACCAGCACGAAGTTGACCAGCCTTTCCAAGGCGGCTGTTGATGGCGGAGACGGCTGAACTGACCTTGTCGAGCGGGTCTTTGGACTTGTCTTTTGCTCCACCAGTGGTGTTTGCCTGTTGAGTCGGCTTCACTTCTGCACCATCAGCCTTTGCTGACTCGCGGGCTTGAACGCCTGATGCTGCCGCGCGGATCGCACTGAGAGCCTTCTCTGCCTTATCGTCCTCCTCTTCCTTCTTATCTTCCTTAACCTCCTCCTCCTCGCCCTCGGCCTTGTGGGTCTTGCGCTCGCGGAGACGGGCAGCTTCTCGTTCCTGATCAAGACGATCGAGACCCTTGCCGCCAAAGCCAGATGTGTCCTTGGCCTTGCCAGATTTAACCTTTTCACGATGAGCTTTCCTCATCTCGTCGAGCCTTTCTGGTACCGGCTGTCCACTCTGTTCAAGAGCCTTGGCAATGCCGACAGCGCAGTTCTCCTGCTCTGGCGTGACGAATGTGACAGCGACGCCGGTATTGCCAGCACGACCAGTTCGGCCAGCACGATGAACATAATCCTCTAAGTGGTTCGGTGCATCGTAGTTGATGACGAGCTTGAGTTGCTTGACATCAAGACCACGAGCTGCCACCGAAGTAGCAATCAAGATGGGCACTACACCCTTCTTGAAGTCTGAGATGGTAGAATCACGATCAATCTGGTCTTTACCTCCATGAATGGACATGCAGGGGTAACCCTTGATCATCAGCTCTTTCAATAGATCGTCGGCCTTTTCTTGACGTTCCACGAAAATGAGGGTACGGGCATCTTCATCACGGTCGTACAGCTCTCCAAGAAGTTCGAGAACACGCAGGAACTTGGATGGCTCATCTCGAACTTCAACGATCTGATCAATCTCCTTTGCCACAACACTACGGCCGCCCACTGTAACTTCGATAGGATTCTTGAGTACCTTCTTAGTTAGCGAGTCGATGATGCGAGGCATCGTAGCTGAGAAAAGGATAGTCTGCCTGTCAGGTCGCATGTTTGCGAAGATCTTCATGACTTGAGGCTCGAAACCCATATCGAACATTCGATCGGCTTCATCAAGAACAACATATGTAACTCGCTTGAGATTAGTAACCCGCCCTTGGTTCGCAGCTAGGAGATCGATCATTCGGCCAGGCGTACACACAATAATCTCTGCACCACGCTTAAGTTCAGCAATCTGATCTCGGATGGGCGCTCCGCCGTAAGCACAGACAGATCGAAGACCCATCATCTTGAGAAATGGTTTACAGTCTCGATGAATCTGAACTGCAAGTTCTCGGGTTGGAGTCATAATCAATCCGATAGGACCATCTGTATCTTTCAGAGGAGGCTGGTCTTTGATGTGTCGGAACATGGGGAGCAAGAAAGCCATTGTCTTTCCAGAACCAGTCTTGGCCACTCCGATGACATCGCGGCCAGACATGAGAGCAGGAAGAGCCTGCATCTGGATGGGGGTAGGTTTCTCAAAGCCTAAGTTATCAATGACGTCGAGTGTTTGTCGCGTCAGACCACATTGCGCCCATTTCTGAACAGGCTTGGGAACATCCTTTCCGTTGACTTTGATGCCATCTAGTTCTAAGCGAAGATCAGCTATCTCGGCTTCTGTGAGTAGGCTGAGCTCAGCTGGCTCGACCCAGAAGTTTTTGCGGATAGGTTCAATTTCGATCTTGCTGTAATCAATTGTTGGAATGTCTTTCTTCTTTCGTTTCGCAGTCATAGCTAACAAAGCGTTTGCGTCACCCGTATCCTTCTTATTGAAATCATATTCATCGTCGCTGAAGTAAGCCTCGGGCTCCTGGATCTTTTGTGCTTTGGATGTCCTAGCAGGTTGTTTCACGTCTGTCTGCTTGAGATCAGCCATGAATGCATCCAGTGGGTCGACGTCATCCTCCTCCTCATCAACTTCCATCTGTGTGGTGGTATCGGGTTGAGTAGCATTGTTGTTTGACATCGCATCTCCGTTGATCTGGATTTCGGTCGTCTTCGACTCTTCCTCGCCCGTATCCATTTGATTCTCTGCCTGCAATCGTCTCTCGTGAGCTGCACGAGCAGCAGCAGCGGCCTCCTCTTCAGTCTCCGCGAAGTTGTCCCCATCGGATTCATCATCATCCTGATCGGCATATGGCGTGTCATCAGCCTCGATGGGCAGGGCAGGAAGCTTAGTAAGTTTTCGTTTAGTAGTGTCTTCTTCATCCAAGTCAAGCTTCCGTTTAGTGGGAAGCTTGTCAGTTTCTGCATTGTTCTTCACGAAGCCAAACCCACTAGCTTTTGTTCGATTCGCAGGGAGAGCTGATGCTAAGATCGGTTTGTCAGTTGAGCTTGAAGCGAGAACTTCGGATGAGAACCTACCGCTGGTAGAAGGTTTGACAGGCACTGTGAGCTTTTCAGGCTGCCCCCCAAGAGAGCCCAAGGCTGGTTTTACGCTGTCATGTGTCCGGGAAGCTGCTGATTTCTTTGCGATAGCCTTAGGGTCAAACTTGCCAGAGTATGGGGCGACAGGTGAAGCAACAGTCGGCGTTGCAGTCGGCGTTGCAGCCGGCGAAGCAGTCACAGAAACTGATGGGGAAACCGTTTTTGAGGACGCCCCACTCGCTTTCTTGTCCATTTCAGCCAAGAGGTTCCTTGTCTGGCTCGGGTTTACTTCTTTTTGTTTCTGGCTCGCATTCTCTTTTTTCTTCTTCCATGCTTCAAGTTTGGCTAATCGTTCAGCCTTCTTGTCGACCTCCGTCTGCCCGGGATCAGCCTTGGGTTTCTGCAATTGAAATCCATTAGCAATACTTTCATGAAAGAGTGACGGCGATCGAACCTCCTGAGTGTCTGGGTTCCCACTGTCGCCAAGCGGGGTTTTCTGAATTCTGCCGTCTTCACGAATGCTGCGAGTAAGGGAGTCAGCCGTACCCTCACGGCGCCCAGGGGTGCGGTTGCGGGAGTCGTCTCGCCTTCTCACATCCCGATCACCTTCTCGGCTGCGATTGCGTCGCCTATCGGGTGATCGATTGCGATCATCGTAGCGTTCTCGTGATCTCCTGCGATCTCTTTCGCGGTGGTCTCGTCGTCCGCCTCGGTAATAATTGTCGTCGCGTCGGTCTACAGAGCGGTCTCTCCGGCGATAATAATCTCGATCTCGCCCACGGTCTCTATCTCTTTCGCGGTCGCGGTTTCTGGGCTGGTCATGGATAAAATCGTCAGAATAAAACCGGCCATAGTTGGGTTGCTGCCTTCTCACATCTGGACTGCGTGATCTGCTTCGTCGCCGATGGTCCCTTCCATCGTTGCGCCGATCCCGAGCTCGGCGATCATCATTGCGGTGACGACGAGAACTGTGGGTGCTGCCTGCAGGACTTGGTGAGCGCGAGTCTCTCGGCCGAGCCATTATTGGTGGTCTCGCAGGCTCAGCAGGACACTTCGTTGGTGAGTAGTACTTTGAGACGGAAGACCGAAGCCTAGGCAATGCGCAACAGGCGCGTGGTTGTATATTGGCGGCGCAATTTGAAGGATAGGTGAGCTTCTCCAAAGCGTCTTATCCGAGTAATCAGGCGCCGTAGTTTGTCTCTGGGTGAAACTGAACAGGCACTATAGGGAAGGCGTCGTTATTTTGATGCGAGAATGAAACTTTAGCTTCATTGGAAGGCTGATGGGGGATGGGCTGAAAGTCTGGGGTTCATTATCCGGGCTTTATCCAACAAAAAGACCCACACACACAAGAGCCGCGCTAGACCCAAACGGATTCCAGACTAAGCTACTAGTACCTCGGTTTCATGTTGATTGACTGTGTCAGTCTCATCTCCAACATCTCAAAGTTCAAGGTGACAGTATGGCCGGCCTTGTTGGATATGCAAGCAGCGATGATGAGGAAGAAATACAAGAGATGAAACCTCCTGTATCTCAGGATAAGGTAATAAATCTCCCACGACTATCCTCCACCAAATATTAAGCGCTCTATCTAATTATTACCAGCAAAGAGTGAACACTACAGATGACAACAAATTGCAAGGTCAAGAAGTAAAGGAGAAGACCAATGCATCGGGTAAGGATATTCCCATTCTCACTCTCCACAAACCTGATTATATGTCAAAGCCATCTCTGACCTCGCTATTATGTAGCTTCTGAGTATAAGAGTCTGGATGGTGTTCCCATCGGACCGGTTCAACAAAACGCTGTGCCGCTGGGACCTTCCCTACCACACATGGAAGAAGCTGTTATAGATGATCAAGACCCAGCATCAAGACCTGCTTCACCATACTCGAGCAATCGTGCTCTTCTTCGTGACCTTACATTACCATCAGCACCTAACCTAAACATTCCCCCGTCGCCCCCTGGATCACCACCTCCTGGAACAAACAAGAAATTTGAGAAATTCATCGAGCTCAAAAAGAAGGGAACTCACTTCAACGCCAAACTGGAGCAATCGACTGCACTCAAAAATCCCAGTCTGATGGATAAACTGATGAGATTTGTCGAAGTCGATGAGCGCAGTCAGTATTCAACTACATTAGCTACCGATTTGTGGAATCCTGCAGCGTTTCCAGAATGGGCGTTCAAAGAGAAGCTACGGAAGAGCCACGACAAAGTGTTGAAGGAGAAAGAAGCAGAGAAGACCCCTGGTACCAGGACGACCGTTGAATTTGTCCCATCGTCAACATCGGCGGGCCAGGATACAACAGCGAGAAGTGGACTTTCAAGAGGCGAGAAACGGAAAAGTGGCTGGAACTAAGGATGAAGGCGCCAGGATACAACAAATGATCGTAGCGATAGGGCTTTGCCGCGGAAAATAATCAACAGACGTCACACTCACGGGATGGAGAGCTGGAAGTTTTTATTCAGAGACCTGTTGGACACAGGGTGACTCGCTTCAAAGGTATCATTATAACCGCCCGCGCCTTCGGTCAAACCACCACCTCATAGCTTTACATTAATCGACTCGACGGCCTACATCATCATCCATCGCCACCGGAATTGCATAATTCATGACCGTTCTGTCGCTTCCATGCGCATGGCATGCAGCCCAAAATCCCAATGAATTTCGCAACTAATCGTTCTTGCTCTGGCACTTGACCTCATAGTCGAGGTCTTTCTTCAGAATGGCACCAATGTCGATTTCAACAGTCTGATTTGAACTCGCCAATGCTGCGGCGAAATAGGTAAGGTTTTCACCATGGTTGATGACCGACTTGCCCAGCAACTTGAAGGGGAGGATGCCTGTTTTGCAGTAGGGCTCCTGCTGGACGGCGTTGAGTACAGCACTCTGGTTCATACTGGCGGTGATGTTGACGACATTGTCACCTGGCTTGAGCACCAAGTTTGGAATCGTCAGGGTGCCGACTTCAATATCTCCAACAAAATTTGTGAAGGTGACGTTGCCCTAGATTCGCGATTAGCTTGACAAACGTAAAGATTGTGAACGATAGCTTACATTATCTAGTGTGAACACGGAAGCGTTTGGAATTGTGGTAGTGCCGTTGAAGTTGGGTGCATCTTTACCACTACCAAAGCCGATGTGGCCATCGTTGACTTCAGTGCCAGCGAAATGGTTAAGACCCTTGAGTTCCAATGTCTTCTTGAAGGTGACACCGTACTTGCGCGACAGACCGCTTGGCTTCACTTTCGTCTTTCCGTAGACCGTGACACGGACTGTCTCATTGTTGTGGAACCAGACGTTGAAACGAGTGAACTCCTCCATGTCGGTGATTGTGACCTGCTGGCTGACATTGACGACCTGGTGTTTGTTGCTGTTGGTCTCTGGCATCTTCACGGTAGCAAACGCCACATGTGCTGGCCAATCTTCGAGATACATATCAGCCTCAAAAGGATCAACCTTGGCATGGATCTTGCCATCGGTTGTGATAGAAGAATCGATTTCCATGAGATAGGCGTCACTCTCGCTGTCAAGGATTCGAACGGATTGAATTTCGAGCTTGGCTTCGTTGATTTTACTTTGTGCAATCTTGGGGACAGCGACAAGAATTCTAAGGGGTAAAGTCAGTTCTGCAATGGATGCTTGAAAGAACAGCGGCTTGCAACTTACATCACAGGAACCACGATGACAACGATGACACAGAGAATAATGAGATAAACCCACCAGAAGCGTTTGCAGTGTCTCGCGCAAGTTCGCTTCTTAGACCTGGGGACAGTCCCATTTTCGGTCTGGGTGACCTCGTTCTTTTCCGACATGTTGACCTGATAATCGGAAAGAAGAAAGAATATTAATTAGGGGTGTGAAAGGGGTGTTGTAACAAGACAGGACAGGTCCGACGTCGTGGAAGTGAAGAAGAACAAGCCAATCTTCAACATACACCAAATGGCGATGAAGAAGGGAACAATGACCGAGTTTAAGTATTTCCACCAGGGTTTACCTGCTCGGTCGAACTGGCAATCTGCATACCTTGCGGCGAAACGAGAAGGAAGTAACAACACCCACAAATAATCTATGCAGCCTTCAACCTTGGCGGGACTAGATCGCCATGATCCGAGTCCCTTTGCATCTGCACCCGGGCATTGATTGCCCAATCAGGCAAGTGTCCGATGAGCGACACGGCGCTATTCCCCAGGTTTGCCCCGCATAGGTTGGGGGTGGAGAGGAGATGCTTCCTTCGATTGAAAAACCCTGGTCAAGCCCTCCTGCTTCTTAGGTTCCTGGTCCGTTATATCCATTGTTCCTCGGCAGCTTGTGAATCTCTATCTATTGTCCGACGTCGCCAGACCGCGCTGATTAACGGACGATGCCCGGCACGCCCTCCATCTTTTGCTGCATTACACGCAGGATCGCGGATCGCTCAAACAACCTTGCTCTCTTTCCTTACTTCAACAAAGCTTGTTTATGAAAGGACCCCTCAGATTGAGGGCAAAGCATGGGCATAAACTGGGCCGATTTGACATGGCACATGATACAACACATTGGATACAAATCTAAGCCTCCTCGAACCCTGCCGCCGCTTTAAACACTACACTTTTAAATTGTCTGGTGGCAAGGTCGATATAAGAGACTTTGATTAATAAGTGTTCCTGAGCCGTCCCTTGTTGGTCATGCAAATTTATGTGGCAGACCTCGTTGATGAGGATACATTGAACGGAGTCGTCTTTTTCTTACTCTTACGTTTTCACAATGAGACACCATGCCAACAGGGAGATGAGTGCATAAAGTCAAAATATCCCCGAAAAGAATGTGCCGAACGCAGAGAAGAGAACTTTGCACGCGACAGGCACATAATTGAGGTTGCTAATTAAAACCGACGAATCACAAAACATGTTTCAGTCAGGCCAACACAGAAGCCAATGCCCTCCTGTCACAACTTCGACGATCAACATCAAGCAGCAAGCAGACTAAGCCCAACTGGGTCGAACAGAAGTTGGAATGTTCGTCCAACGGAAATGCATCATTGACGGTTGAGATTGTCTGTCAAATGTCGTCGATGGGTTGTAGCACCCCTCTTCCTGCAATTGCACCCAAAGATTTAAAGTTGTTCGGTGGCTCGTCATGACAACCAACCAATTTATTCTGATTGGTATGAATGACACGACACGCCACGTTAGAAAGCGGCACCTGAGCTTCGGAGTGGCTCCAAGAGAAGCAAGCGGCGCATTATGGCAACCTAAAGGCAGAGGGGTTCAGCTCAGTTATCCATGTGCCCTCTGGAAGGGCTGGCTGTGACACACCATCTCGGCCGGGCATCCTCTCATGGTATGGTTGGTTTCCAAGTTTTCAAAGTCCAGGGTGTGATTTGATTTGATAAACCCTTGTCCCTGCATTGTTACCACATTTGCTGGCTGGCTTGGTGGAATCTATGTATTTATTATTTCCGTAATGACTGCAGAGCAAGATACATTGATCAACAGAGAACTAATCGGTATTTGTCTCTAGAAAGAATTGCGTGTTCTTTCATGATATGTTCTTCCTGAAAACACTCAAGCTTTGGTATGAGTTTCATTGGTCCACACACCGTCACGCAACCCTAGAAACCAATTCGAACTGCGCCGCATGATGCCTCCTTGGCACAGCTAACATTTACAGCCCGGCCTTCGTACAGTTGTATCATTCTCCCGTTTCCCCTCTGCGATTACTCAATTTAAACTTTTAGATCTTATTGCTTTTGCCTCTGGTGCGGGCCACGATTCCTGCTGCAAGGTTAGAGAGTTGTGAAATCAAAACTTGAGCATTTTTATCATGAGAAATGTAATCACAGTAAGAATATCGTATTTGCTTAGAGAAACTCATTGTTTGGAATGATGTTCTCGAAATGTATTAGTATTTTGAACAGTTGAAGGATTTCACTTGAGAGATTCTCCTCCATGCCTCACTTTTCCCTAACCCCCGCGGTGTTACCCAGAGGCAACAATGTTGGCCAGCCCACCATATCACTAGAGCCGTCCTCCCCGAGAGCTACCGCTATTGCCGCTTCGATTTAGAGAAGCAGGGCTCCCTGGTAATTGGAGTGGAGACTGGAGAAGATCTAGTATCGAAGCCGAGGCTGCATCTGGCATATGAAGATGTCGTCGCCTGCTGCTTCAAACTTTACAGCTTTGACTTTGTCCACAAGCCTTGACGGTCCAACCCTGAATCTCCATCGTAGATATCTCGTTCCACCTGTCGAGCATTGACCTGCCAAGCGAGTTAGTCGAGATCGCCAACCACAGCGAGTGGAGTCTGGGGAAAAGCTGGGGAAATCTTACGAATCTAGGGCCAAGCTCCGAGATATTCTTGGCTCCGAGTAATCGCATACATGTCGCTGTCTCTGCCTCGAGGACTGTTTTGCATGTGTTAGCCGGGGTTCGGGCATTCTCGAAATCACAGGCTCAACTTACTCTCGAGTGTTCTCTCGACTCCGGCTTGGCCACCAGCGCCAAGTCCAAAGAGAGCACCGCGTCCAATACCAACGCCGCTGGCTCCCAGACACAATGCTTTTACAACATCTGTTCCTCGCTTGATGCCACCATCAACCCATATTTGGACCTTGCTCAGAATCTCAGGGCAGTATTTGCGGATTTCGAGAAGTGTGTGGATAGCTGGAGGGGCTGTGTCGGCAGCACGACCGCCATGGTTCGATAAGATGATGGCCTTTACTTGAGGAGCATACTTGGCTGCGAGGTAAGCATCCTCATGAGTCTGAAGACCCTTAAGAACGATGGGCAGATCTGTGTGAGCAGCCAGCCAGGGAAGAGTTGTCTTCCAAGTCAAGTCGGCCGCTGTACCGAAAAACAGCTGTTGACCAACACCTCCAGCACCGGGCTTGCTCTCACCGCTGGCGGGACTGGGTTCGGAGTAATCAAAGTTTTGCTTTTCATCCAGCTCACGTTTACCAGGAACAGGCGCATCAAGGGTCAAGCAGATAAACTTGTAGTACTCTCGCATAGAGTTGATGCGCTTGAGCATAGCCTCGCTCTTCTCTCGTTGGTTCTGGACGTAGAGCTGCCAGCCAAAGGTCTGACCTGGCTTCGCGCCCTCGATGATCTGCTCAGGGGTCATCGACGCGTTGTTCGACACAATCTGCATGGCACCGAATCGAGAGCATGCCTTGGCGATGCCTTGCTCTCCGTCTGGATGAGCTAGACGGGCCATAGCAGCAGGGGCGACGAAGATTGGTAGCCCAACTTTGTTGCCAATTAATGTGGTTGAAAGATCGCAAGCTGTACAGTCAACAAATACTCGTGGCCTAAGAAGGATATTTTTATAGACATAGTTGTTGTAGTTCTTTGAAAATAGATCGTCGGCGGCTGAGAAATAGTATGCCCAAGCCTTTTTCGAAATGCGCTTGGTAGCCTCTTCCTCGATCTCATCAAGATTCATGAGTGATGCCATTGGTGGCGGCTGGTCGTCTCGGGACTGTCTAGTGGTGTCTTCGCCGGTCAATTGGGAGTCAGTGAGTGTTTCGGGATTCACTTCACCGAGGATATTCTCAGGTTTGAGGTTCTCCTCGAGGGTGCCAGGTGGGTGAACGGGATCATATTCGTCGGTGGCATCCTTTCCGGCGAGCTTCAGGATGATCTTCTTACCACCTGGATGCGATGGAAGAAACTCAGTCACATCGTAGACTTTGCCATAGAGAATGACCCAGCAGCTCTCTGGGGTATTGTGTTTGGCCACTATCGCGAGTCGTATGTCAGTCATGCGCCCTCTGTCAACATTGTTGAGTTCCAACTGTTGTCGCTCATACCTTCAGCCGCGTCGAAGACCTTGGCCATGCTGGTTATGTACAAAAAGCTTGAGGGGTATAACAAGGGGAATTGAGTCAATTGAGTTGTAAGAAGAAAGATGCGACGCGCGAAACGGTCTACTTAAGATATCAAGACCAGTTTGGACTGATCTACTCCGTACAGACTCGGCAGATACTGTCCCGCCTCCAATTGGGTTCTCAGAATTGGGGGTTTCCTTGGGGGTCGTTTGTGGGACGCAGATGCTATGAGAATGTAATAGAGACAAAAATGTGAGTAAATGTCCAAGAGAAATGGAACGAAGCGATCTCAAACCACACGGACGCTCTCATGAGCAAGAATTCGTATGATTTACATGAGAACATTCATTATTCAGTCTCATCATGGCACGAAATACAAGGCTGCGTACAATTACGTTGTCCGCCATTGGGTCGGACTGGATCCCGATCATGACCGGCGACTTTGACCGAAAATATATGGAACAACATGCTGGCTCTGTACAGGTACCTATGATAGAGTCCCTTTCACGCTGTGTTTGTTAGTGAGAGCCCCGCTAACAAGTCAAGGTACAGAGCTCATCATGACACCCAACGCCACAAATCGAGCCGCATGAGCGCCACAACCGATGAGGTCAATTCTGCGCTAACGATTTATTACGACATTGAGAAAGCGCCTTCCGAAGCTATACTTACCAGGAACGACCATCTATTTTTTTCTTTTCCAGTAATTTTCGCCGTCTCGGATTCATTTCAGTGCATTCCTACGCAGCCTTTTTCTTTCTTTGTACCTCAGCTCTTTAGTGCTGTAAAAGTATGCGACCCTCTGTTACTTCTCCCGCCGTGCGCAACCTTTCTCGGCTTTGTATCCGGTGTCAACTCCGAGTTCGCCGAGCTTCAACTCTTGTGCCTTCGCATCGACCGTTTGTAGCAGCGACGCCCACGCGACATCATGTAGCTCTCGCAGCGGCGGTTCGGGGCCCAGCAACGAACGCCCGTGCCGCATCTGGTGCCGCGCAACCCGAGCAAGAACCGGCCCCGTCCGGTGCACCACCCTCGACACATTATGACCTCTTTCCTGAGACGCTTCCCGATGGTCCTCCTCCGGCAGGACACTTTCCTATCGATACCCGCGCTTTGCGCCGTGAGTTTCTCCGTCTGCAAGCCCGGGCTCATCCGGATATGCATCCTGCTCAGGATAAAGCTCGTGCCGAGGCCATGTCAGCGCTCATAAACGAGGCTTATAAGACGCTGTCTAACCCTCTTCTGCGAGCACAATATCTACTCTCTCTTCGAGGTGTCGACGTCGCCAACGATGAAACCCTCAAGGTGGAAGAGCCAGAACTATTAATGCTTGTGCTTGAGGCGCGCGAGGAGATTGAGGATGCCGAGCGTGAGGAGGATCTTGACGAACCTCGTGCCGCGAACGATGCGCGCATTGCGGAGAGTGAACAGGTACTCGAGCGCGCATTTCAGCATGATGATATCGAGGCCGCGAAGCATGAGGCCGTTCGTCTGCGCTACTGGGTCAATATCAAGGAAAGTTTGGATAACTGGGAGAGGGGCCAGCATGTTGTGCTGCAGCATTGAATGATCAGCGAAACGACAAAGTACTAGCGGTATTGCGCACCACCTAGGTTCTTGACATGATTAGATAAATAAGTGATCAGATTTGATTGATGTGTCATGAGCGCTGTTTTAAAAGACACTCGCATGGGTTTAATCCACGAGGGCATCTTACGATGGGAATGGGGCTTGGCCTGGAGTTTCCTCTTGGCATGAGGTACTTGGGGTATCAAGCAAGCATTTCGTCATTCGACTAGGGAGTGGGCTGATGTTCATCAACCTTAGATCGAAGATATGCAACATTTAGCAGGGGTTTGGGACCTTTCTTTGTCCTGCAACCTCAAGATGAACCCGAGGCTAAGGCGAGTTTGCCTGCCTTGGTGACTCTCTTTGTATATCACTGCATGGTTACCGCAATAGTTAGATAGTAGATCCCGATTCTCTACTAAAATCAATGACTGGAAGGTCATGCAACAAATAACTTCAGCTTAAAGCTGGTCTTCATCGTCAATAGTAGTTATCGTCATTTGTTGGTACAGGCAGTAACGACTTTATCATGATTTAACTCTCATCATATATCCAAACGCTAGGGTTCCAACCTGTGCGCCAGCAAATTATATAGTATACCCATCATATCCCATACACTCATACGCCTATACAATACACACGCCTCTACGCACGCCAGCTTATCGTTGGTATGCTGGCAGCTGCTCTCCGTCGACATGCCTCGAAGTGCCAGAAGGTCCCGCACTAGACCCGTAACCCGGAAAATCATCATAGTCATCCACCACTGGGGCGCTTGGAGCGCTTGCTTCCGCATCAGCTTCCGCCTCCCTCGATGGGCCTTCGTCTCCTCGTCGTTGCACATCCTCAGGAACATCTGGTGGCGCACTGGCTTCGTTCAAAAGCCGTCGACGTTCGAGCTCCTGTTTGTCTTCAACAGCCCCTGAGAGAAGCGCTGTTGGCAAGTCAACGTCGTCTTCTGTAGGGGCTGAGGGTCCCGCATCGGGGGCACTTAGAGTGTTGGGAGCACTTGGAACAAAGCCACTACCAAGATCAGGAACCCGAGGCGTATCCTCTGCATCGTATATATCTTCGTCATCATGGCTTGTTGATGGGCCCGCTTCCGGCGGTTGACTTGGTAATAGCCGTGTTTCTGCTTGCCTAATCCTCTCCTTCTCGGAAAGATTGTTTTGGTTGAGTATCTCCGGAGGTGGGATATATGAAGGCGCGGCAGGAGAATGAACAGAGCCGTTGAGATTTGACCCAGGAACGTCTTGAGGCCGGAGCGACGGGTGTTGCAGCGGAGCCAGTTGTGAATATGGCTGCGGAGGATGAGAAGGGATCGATGGAAGTCGACTCCCATTGGCCTGTGATGAAAAATAGCCACCGGGGGAGAGTGGCGTACTGTTCGAGTATGGCTCAAGGGGAGGATCGTCGGCATAACTTGGTTCTTGGCCTATCACCTCTTCTTCATCGCTTTCAAGAATCTGTACGCTTCGCGAAGTGGGTGAAGCTCTCGACTTTTTCTTACCGCGAGATGAGTCAGTTGTGCCAACGACTGTCTCCATCGATACCGCGATAACACCCTTTTCATGGCGCATCTGAGAAGTGTCTGCAATATTAGCGCCTCTTCTTGGTCCGTATGTATGATTATCTGCACTTCCATGGCCATAAGGTCCGAATCTGGCTGGGCCAGTTTGCATTTGATTTGACAGTCTCCCACCGAGGTCAACAACTACCTCAACCACGTACTTGAAGCTGATCATCTCTCCAGGCACACCTTTAATTGTCGGAAAGGAGTCGTCAGGTAGCTTAACGGTTACGGTGACCGACGTTTGCATGGTGTTGGGGTCGATGATTAGTGGTGCTATGTTCTGGTCAAGATCCTTACGGAATATGCTTGTAGAACTCGAAGATGTCAACGAAAGACCACCCAGGCCGGTCCGAGATCGTGGGAACACATCTTCCTTATCAATGCGAGCCACATCGTCACGACTTAAAGTCTCGTCAAACAGGGCGCTCGGTGGGTTGCTGTCGATTTTGCCTTGTCTGAGTAGTGTCACAATCACACCGGTCATGCTCTTCACCCTTTTAGTATGTTGAACAGTGACCCGCACGGAGACAGCATCACCCGGCAAGCAACCGCCCTTCAGCAGCTCAACTGTCGCGGTAATCGTCTTTTTATCAACTGCCTGTTGCTTAGCCGATGTGAGTGTCCCGACCTGGGACAGCGGGGCTTCCGGTCTACTCAAGCTTGTACTGTTGCTGACGCCACTTTCGCCGCTGACTTCGCTTCGCATATCGCTCTGTATCGGACTCCTCGGGTTCGTCACCTGCTCACGAAGGTCTTCTGTTGGTGTTTCCAAAGGATCTTGCTCCGAATTGAATTCGTTGATCTCGGAGGGAGCTGCAGTTGACTTGTCCATTACCATAGACTTTCTCCTGCGATTTCGTTTCGATATCGGTTCTAAAAAGATGGTCCGCGGCCGAGGAACAGGCAGCAGTCCAACATCCACATTCTCTACTAACAAAACTTTTCGCTCGCATGATGACGTTGGGGCAATCGAAGTTGGTCGAGTTAGCGTGGCTGTTACCATATATGAAACGGTCCCTCGCTCGAACTGCATGGCAAGTTAATGATGAGACAATAATTGATAGAAGAGCCGTAAACCTACGTCAATACTGCTCGGGAGCCCCTTGTCAGGAAACAGGAGGTCGAACCCAAATTCGTATCTGCCAGGTTCCAGCCTCCCCTCGCCGCTTAATACCTGCTCATCCTGGAAAAGGCTTGCGAGACCATTGCCGTGATATCGTGGGCGCGCCGAGTCACCATTCTGCGGTAGTACAATACTTCCTTGCGCTTTTGCGACTGATGTCGGATCTTTTAGGACACGGACATATCCGTGAAGCGATACGGTTAGATGAGTAATGCGAACTGGTTTCACGACGACTATGACGACAGCACCACGGACATTGTCGCCAGCGCTATATCGACGGTGTGGTTCTTCAGCACGAATATGAAAGTCGGTGATATTGCGATTTCGATTGCGCAAAGGGAGCGAAAGAGGGAGGCTCAGGCGCGAGAGAAATCTTGGGCGCGTAGAAGAGGTGGTAGATGCGGTGGGGGAGGTAGCCCGCGGGGCGGGAGAGGTCGCCGAGCCAGCAGACTCGGCAGGAGAAGATATCGGGAGGTTCGTAGGCGTATTTGGAGTGTTAGAGTTCGCAGGACCTGGAGCTCCTGTAGGATTGGAGAGCGAGGGAGAAGATCTCGACCGGCGGCCCATTCCCAGACGTGATGCCAAAGGCATAAGAAGGACCAGGATCCGAGGTCGAGAGCGACGTCGAGCTCAGAAAACCGACGTCGCAATCCTTGGAGCGAGAGCCCGCAGCCTCTTGCTCTGGAATTTTTTTCTTTTTGTCGTATCGGGAAGCCGTTGAATTATATGTATGCGGCGGGTACGAACGTTGAAGCAGAGGCGTTCAATCTGTGGGCGCGTCGGCGGCGGTTGCGGCTGCGTGTTCTAAGTCTGCAGGAGGGGTACGAGAATGTGCGGGATCGACATCCAAGAAATTGGCCGAGAATATGACAAACAATAAACCCAATCAGAAATACAAATACTATAATACACTATAGATGAGTTGAGGTAGAAAATGTGACCTGGGTGAGCGAATGACGAATATTTGGTCGTGGAGGCGGAGATGGATGGCGGCGGTAGCGGCAGTAAGTAGAAGTGACGGACGATACTCAGTAAGGTACTGGGCGCTACCTACCTTGAACTACCAACACTGCCTTAGTTAGTCGCCAGCAAGATAGAAGGTTTACAATCGCGGGACGGACGGGAGGGGGATGAAAGAGCCAATTGGAAAGGTACCTTCCTAGCGCCTGTAGTGGTCCCCATAGCGCCCCTAGCGCCTTCTGAATGGTCTCGAGCAAGATGGAGAAGCGATTGGAGCTTGTTGGGGCAAGAGCAACCATTTCCAGGCGCGAGAATCAGTGAAGTGGGCATTACTATGTAAATCTCAATGCAAACCACCCCATTCAAAATAAAATCTCCGTTAATTGGACATGTAACTTGATCTTTCATGTTAGTACAGTCATGTATGGCATCTCGAATCTGCCCTACCCAGATTGTCAGTTTGCAGATGCCAAGACTTTGTAGAACATCGCTCCGCCAAGAAAAGCTTGGTCAAAGTCTCGACGAGCTTGGCTCACATATTCTGCCAAATGCCTGGGTCATGGATGGTAAAAAGTGACAGGTCTGGCAACTAGCGGGAACTGCCAGCTGAGTGCATTCTGCCGTCGAGGCTGCCAAACTCACAGCTGGACTACCGGTGCCCTGTGCTCCTTTCTTCTATTCACACCTCCAAGTATCTGGCGGTTTCCGGGCTGTCAGTTTCCATGCTATCACTACAGAACGGATGCCAAACACAGCACTCTATATGCAGTGTTCCTTGCCAACCACATCCCGCAGAATGAGTCTAGCATGCGGCGCGGATGGATCCGGTGCAGACGCCACTGCTGGTCATGACGCGACAGACACATTCCTTAGTGGAACCTTGCCTGGGCTGCGGTTGACGAATCCTAGGTTGCAATACGCGTAGTTTTCATATCGTTAAAATAAACCAGGGCACATTGCATTTGGCTAAGTAGGCAGGCAGGGTTCTCAATTTCGATGGTAGTGTAAGGGTTATTATCAACTCCGCTACACTCTACGAGATTTCAACGAATGTCAACAGCTATTAGGTAACGAAAGGTCTATTCGATAAGGAGCCACGACGTTCGACCTTTGCAATAAGGTGGTTTCCAATAGCAGTATTCTTTTGTTCTATGTTATCATGCCTTACTGGCTTTCTAATCCGTTCGTCACCCACCACACACATTCTATGCTGCGTCTCAAACATGTTCCAAACTACAATTACATAGGTACATGGTATCATTATCCATCCGAAGAGTTCTGGAACCCCGCCCAGACCCATGCTACCAAACCGGTACAATATGATGCAAGACAATGATGAAGAGTAATGAAAAGAACCCATTCTTAATAACTCAAGCCCAAACGCCATACAGTGCTATGCCATGATGCCTTTCCGTTGAATGCTTTTTGCAGTCTAGTCCAATGCTTCTCCACTCAAAATGCTTTTCAGGATACCTGCGCCAACGCCATCGGCCACAGATTCAATCTCTTTTTCTACAACACAGCTCGTGATTCTCCGCTCATCTCCACTCGCGGCAAGAGTCTTGCGACCTCGCTTGCTAGGTGTTTGTGGTGCGACAAGGCTTCCGCTCTTTCCATCAGATGCGTTGACTAAGCCCAATGTTTCGAGGCTGCCGGCAACCTCGCGGAATTCAGAGCTTGATAAAGGGTGCAAAACCGAATCGCGGGTGCAGAGCTGACAGTACGCATCGAATAAAGTCTTGATAGTTGGTGCCAAAAACTTCTTTTTTGAAGGTGTGGCGCCGTTGTTGGCCATCTTAGCCGCAGCTCGAGTTCGTTTCTCATAGGCTATCAAGGCACAGAGTGCTGCCTTCTGCTGGAGGTTAAGCGCCTTGAGTCGCTGTGTCGTTCCGTTGCTGAAAGCTGCTGCCGTGATTTTGTTCAGATGTCCAATCGATGCCCGGGGCGCCGTTTCCGCTGTGAGAGCCTTCAAAGAATTCGCCATTAGTTGAAATACGCTCTTCGAGCCACCGGACGCGCCGTTGATGTTCTCCCCAAGAGGTCGTTTCGAAGGGGTCATCTGTAGAAGTTCCTCTCTCGCTTCTTCCTCGTACTTCTGACGCGTTTCGGTCTCAATCAAGTCAAGTGCACGGCGACAGATCTCGAAAGCCTTGCGAAGGTCCCCAGTCTGACTCGAAACCTTGCGGGAGCAGAGTTCAATAGCAGCAGGGTGAATGAATGGCACGTGCCCTTCCTTTCCACCAGCAGGCATCAGGGACTTGAGCCGCATGGTGATAATGTTCTTGACCTGGGTTGCGGTATAGGGCAGGAATGGCAGAAGATCAGGCTTCAGGTTCTTGGCCTTGAGTCGAGGAAGGAAACGATCAGTCAAGTCCAGGGCGTTGGCAATACCGACAAGAATCAGGCATGAGTTCTTTTGCAGTGACCATTCAAACACGCGATATAAGCTTTCCAGGCCCATCGTTAGAATGTGGTCGATCTCGTCCAGGGTAACAAGATAGACGGTTTTCGACTTTGTCTTGGACACGAACATAGTCTGCAAGCTCGAAATTGCATCTGCCTCGGAAGAGTCGAAACCTTGGCCAAGCGCGCCAAGGAGTGTGGTGTAGAGATCTTTGGAGGACTTGACACTCATGCAGTTGACATATACAGACATGACACCTTTGTGGTTGGCATACTGTCGAGTTATCTCGGTAATCATGGCACTTTTGCCCGTGCCTGGCGGACCGCTCACATAAAGGCAGCCGTTAGGGGTAGGCGAAGAGTATCGATCCAGGAATTCTATCATCTGGTTTCGTTCCGCATCTCGGCCGACAAGTTGACCTGGCTCAGCTCCACGAGCAAACAATTGTCGTGCTGAATGATATATGGTTTGGATAGTGCTTGGTGAAAGTGGTGTTTGTGGTGTAAGTCGCTTGAAGAGTTTGCCTGCCGACATGACAGCATGTCGAGGCGTAGTAGGAGGCACTGAAAGTGCATCTCGATGTCGGGGTGTCGAGGGTGTAACAGGATTCTGCTTTGTGGATGCTTGTGAGGGAGACTTTCGGGTCCGGGGAGGTAGCTCGGCCAATATGTCGTTTTCTTCATCATCATCGAAGGGGGAATATGCAGGATCTTGGTTCTCGTCGTTGTATGAAATAGTCTTTGCAAGGCGGCGGCTTCGTTTTGTAGGAGTAGCCACTGGACAGGGCATGTCTTAAATCATGATATTAGCAACTGCCATCTGGATGCAAGGCTCTTGTTCCTTCCGCCAGAAGAGACTCACCAGTTTCATCAATGCCGCGGGCCCTCTTTCCTAGTGTTGCTCGAGCCATGGCTGCAGTGGTTCCTTCCAACTTATGTAGATATTAGAATTGTAAGTTGATAGCACTTTTCAACAATTAATGGTATAGGGTTGAGAAGGTCTGGAAGTTGCAAGAGGGGTGTTTGTCGATGGTAACTGCAGGTTATGTCCTATGTCGAATATTAAGAATGGAGCCCCATTACTCAGGGCGTTTCGCGCCACGATATGGCATAAGACGTGTTGAAGTCGCGTATGAACGCGAGCTTCGGCCACGACAATTAAACATGTGGTCAGTGCACTGAGACGCGGTCAAGTCAGCCACAATGCGCCACGTCTAACACGTAAATTTGACCCTAGATCCCTGAGAATCGCGGCTGGCCGTGGCATGGTCTGCTAGCGTAATGATTGGATAGTAATTTGCGGTGGAAAGGGTCGATTATTCGTTGCTCAGAGACGAGCCGCAAGAATAAATCCCCCCTTGTCTCATTCGAGTAGCCAGTTCGCTACCGAGAGGCATTGACAAAGCGTGGTCTACAATTGGCATTTAATTCGATCGTCATGGAGCCATCAGATGCTCTGCATCTGGATTTTGAATCTGTCAGCCCACTTTCTACCGAATTCATGATCTGACAACTCCGGGCCTCGGCATTGGAAACATCCCTCAAAAATGGATTACGTCATTGCTCTTCAGTCGTTAGATATTATCATGCAATTGTGCTGCCTCTAAATTCAATCTTGCTTTGCCCAACACTCATCTATCGACAACGAGGTCGCTGACAGTAAAGTGCTCACCATGACTACATATATTCCCGCGCTCACTCTGCCTGACGCGGTCTTTCTGAAGCCCGCCCTATCCGTCTTGCTGCCCATTGGCCTTGGCACAGCTGTTGGCTTCAGTGCCACTCGTGAGTTGTCCTTTTCACGTCCATATATCAATGGATCACTATTGACTAATTCGTTGCCTGGCCACAGAGACTCAGAAGACCTATCTTGCTCTCAAGAAACCCTCGGTTCAACCTCCGCCATGGCTGTTTGGTCCGGTCTGGACCGTCCTTTATGGGTCAGGATTGTCAGGTTAACTCATTGACGTTCATAACTAACCCTGCTCAGTCTCATGGGTTATGCCGCCTACCGAGTTGCGGACATTGGTCTCTCTCCCTTCTCATCCCCTGAGACTATCGTGAACACTCGACGTGCAATGACTCTCTACTCCATTCAACTCGGCCTCAACCTTATCTGGACTCCTCTCTTCTTCGGCTTGTATCGCCCAATCGAGGCGTCGGTTGATATTGTGACCCTGCTCGGCGTCAACGGCTACCTCACTTACCTCTACAGCTCCGTTGATTCTGTTGCTGCGTGGAGTCAGGTTCCCTACCTCGGCTGGCTCAGCTTTGCCACGTACCTATGCACTACCATTGGTTATTTGAACAACTGGGACTTGAAGACCAAGGAGGTTAAGGACGAGTAAGTCCATCTTATGATGAATGCAGTTCTTCAAAGTCATGAGTTTTGGTCCACAATGTACTTTTATTTCCTGTCACACTATGTCATTTCAAAGCCAAAGTCGCTCTATCCGTCTAATACCAAAAGCATCGTCCTTGCTATCCTCTTCCGACCCCAAGATGAACAGATGGATACCCTCCATGCATGCTCCAATCCACCAATTGACATGATGTCAAACCTAAATTTCGAACGCCATAGATGCTTTGACGAGTCGCTGCTATCCGTAGACGAGATCTCTTTTCCAAGTAATTAATGAAACCCAATTTACCACACACAACACCTCGGCCAGTTTTCTTTTCGTCATCATCAAATAGGGAAGTGTCGCTTCATCCCATCATAAACCATGAATATGAAGGCGGAGCTTGGCGCAGATCGGAGGCACGTAATGCCACAGCCACGATACATGCCTCGTATCCCATGCTGTTCCCAGAGCATGGCTCCTTCTTTCCAGAATGTCCGTCTTTGGCGCAAATCACTGACAGTCGAGGTTTGCATTCGTGATTTGATAGTATCTGCTGGAAAAAAGAGGAAGTTATACGACACACCCGCTGATGCGCCAGCAATTGCTTGTTGCCAGAACGGTAAGGGAGTATCAAGGATCTTCTGCTTTTCTGTTGCTGACGTCGCGGTCTTCGTTTTGAGCTGGTAGAACATGCTTGTTACCGTCTCCTTGGCACCAAACCAAGCAGAACCACCGCCAGCCTCTCGAATCAGTGTACCAAGCTGACCATGCCAAAAACCCCGAAGACCCTCGTGACGGAAGACCTGTTTGATGACAGGTATAGGGCGGAGAGGAGCGCCAGCAGATCCATCAGCCGACATGGGAGCCTGAATCCTACACTTGACAAGCTCAATTGGAGTGAGGACGAATGACGTGAATGCTCCAGAAAATGCACCTGTCAGCCAGAGATACGGCAGTGAAAGTCCTTGTTCTCGGGAAACTAGGCTGCTCGCGAACAGTAATTCACGGCCAAGACTCTCGAATAGAAACAGACTGCTTGTTTCTGCTGCAGCACCCACTAGGGGAGCTGTAATACCACGATAAAGCCCCAAAAACCCATCACTTTTGATTGACTGCCGGAAGCAATCTAATGGACCAGAATATCTTAACGGGAGATGATCGGGCTGACTTTGTAGCCGCACCTTCACCGTATCGAACGGATACTCGATGTATTTGCCCACAGCGCCAGCAAACTGATAAAGTCAGTATGCAAATAACTGGCTCAAGTGAAGACACATACCGATCCGCATAGTACGTCTTCAAATGCCTCCATAAGCGCTGTCTTGTCTTTGAGGGAGAAGTTGGGCGCATGGCCAGCAACCTCTACAGCGACAGGGCTAGGCTCCATGGGAACGGCGGCGCTAATTAAATGTGATCTCGCAAGAAGAAAGTCTGGACGAGGAAGAACAAAGTGCAATACGAAGCACCCTATTGAAGGTTGACAGGAAGTGTTGGAAAGCGGTGTCGTGGCTAGGTACTGTCAAAAAGCTTCGAAGGAGGGGCACTCCAGCGATAATATACGCGATCGCAAGATGGGTCCAGTAGCTACACAGACTGCGGCTTCAGTTCCGGGGTAGTTGGCACCCTGAAATTCGATCAATCGCTGAGCTAATTGACAAGTCGACAGATTTGATATGTTTAGGACGCAGGATACAATCGTTTCCTTCAGATATAGCTTTGTGCTATACGTTGCTGAAGCGCAGTTGCAGTCAGTTGATCAATCGTCGAAAGTCGGTAAACGAGGATCAGAAGGATAAGATGTCCTCGCAGCTACAGGGCAAGCTGGTCTGTCAAGGTACAACGCGACTTTGTGGGCTATGCCTGCGACATATAATCGCCGCCCTGTGCTGCGAGCCCGCGAAGTCAACCGTCATGCAGAGAGATGCTTGCTGTAAGAGTCTTTTTCGGGCATCAGACCCAAAGAGAAAATTCTCCTAACAATTCAGCATGTGACATCAGATCCTCCGCTTTTCGCAACAGCCTCAACCAATCAGAATATAGTTTTCTTTATCAGATTGAACGTGCACGGCTTGGAGCTGGATGGCTCAAGGATTCCGTTACGTTCGTCTCGTGTAATTGTGGTTCAAGAGGGGACGAGGGGTTTTCTCAATACTGTCTGAGTTGTGTTACAGCTCAAACGGATCCATTTGCAAAGTTGATCTCCTTGTTCAGTTGAAATCCCCTGCAATATGGGACGAACCTTGACCCCTTGTGGCAGTTTCCCGACTAGCGTCCTGCACGTTGATCGCTGATTGATAAGATTATCCACTCCGGCATCGGTGCATCAACCGAAGACAACGAGTGTGCAGGTAGGCGATCCAAAACCCAATTGTACCTGGTTGGGCATGAATATTTTGCGTAGGTGGGAAGTTTCCTTAACATGAACCCTACAGTCTACTAAAGAACCATATTAATGACCCGATTCCATACCAACTCACGTCGAAAATAGCACCAAGTCGCCAAGTTAACAAATTGACTAGTATTCTCCAATTCATGCTAGAGTTCAGTCTATTTCTCGCTCCCACTCATTGTATCGGAGGTCTAAAGCAATCTCAAGTCAAATTCCGTGCTCGGTACATGCTTTGGCGTTTTGGTTTGCCATGTTTGATCTTGTACCTGAGAGAGCACCTCTGCCGTCGTGAACTGGATAAGGTACGTACTTAGCTGTCAGTTTGATATTCGGTTCGGTTAAAGTATTCTCCACTAACTCCGGAAAGATGGTGGGGCAGCGGGAGGTCGCGTTTACGCGACACGACGCGACTGCAAGTTTAATTGATTACATCCGCTCTCGGGGATCTGGGTACCTGGGATTTCAATCCTTCCCACACAGCAACTAACAAAACTCACTCTCAGGATGACCATGACACAGAACATCGTGGACTCAAAGCCTTCAAACGGCTCAAAGTCGATCAACCACGAAGAGCATCAGTATCTAGATCTTGTCCGAGAGATCCTTGAAAGTGGCGAGCGTCGACCAGACCGGTAAGAGAATGGCACAGAACATCTGTTACCAGACAATACTCTAACCATCCTGATAGCACCGGCACTGGCACATACTCCATTTTCGCTCCTCGGCCCCTAAAATTCTCATTGAATAAGAACGGAATCCCCATTCTCCCTCTCCTTACTACCAAGCGTGTCTTCACCCGAGCAGTCATTGCCGAGCTCTTGTGGTTCATCGAAGGCAACACTTCTTCTAATAGCCTCAGCGAAGCTGGCATCAAGATCTGGGATGGCAATGGCTCTCGCGAATTTCTCGACAACCTCGGCCTCAATCATCGTGAGGTTGGCGATCTCGGCCCCGTATATGGCTTCCAATGGCGACACTTTGGCGCCGAGTATGTTGATGCAAAGACGGATTACACAGGTCAAGGTGTAGACCAGCTTGCCGAGATCATTCACAAACTACGAACTAATCCTTACGACCGCCGCTTGGTTCTTTCTGCCTGGAACCCCGCCGATATGAAGAAGATGGTTCTGCCACCTTGCCACATGTTTGCGCAGTTCTACGTATCCTATCCTCGGAGCAAGCGTGACGACTCGGAAGCTAAGCCCCAGGGTCATCTTCATTGTCAGCTATACCAAAGGTCTTGCGATATGGGTCTAGGCGTCCCGTTCAACATCGCCAGCTACGCGCTGTTAACACACATGCTTGCCCATGTTTGTGAACTGGTTCCTGGAAGCCTTACTCATGTCATGGGTGACGCTCATGTGTACCTCGACCACGTTGATGCCCTCAACACTCAATTAGAGCGTGAGCCACGGGATTTCCCCGAGTTGGAAATCTCTCGAGAAAAGGGCGGAAGTATTGACGGATGGAAAGCGGAAGATTTCACCATTAAGGGCTACGACCCTCATAAGACAATTGCGATGAAAATGTCTGTATGATTTGTGTATAATGTACGGCGCTGTGATTATTGAGAGCTTGGAATAGATGGCGTTGTTATAGAGTTTAATAACGAGGGGCCCCTGTTCGATCCCGCGTGGGTATTTATGCTTATTGAGATTGAATATTGATTCGTACAAAAACCCGAGTGACATGCAAACTACTATTGTGTAGATCTGTATATTCGTATCTAGCTCCTAGAATGGTTTATACGAGAGCTCATAATGACAGAGTACATTGCTTCTCATCGTTCCATACGATGGCTTGTTGGGTTAAATCGGGATGATGAACAGAGATACAATTCCCAAGCACACGAGACGTCGATTGATAATCTACGAGTTATACAGTGACTAGTGCATTTGTGTGCAACCAACGCACTTATCCAAACAATCATCCGAGCCCATAAGTCGTTAACCCTGGTATTGTGATGCTACAGCGAAGGAGCATTTTACTGCTTCTTCTTGGTGGAGGCCTTGCTAGGGGAACCCTCCTTCTTTTCAGAGGCCTCCTTGGCCTCCACAGCGGCAGCGTCATCAGCCTCCTTCTTCTCAGCATACCACTCGCCAACTTGCAGAACAAGAATGCCAACAAGGACAAGGGCGAGAATGGTATTGCTGGCCGAAAGAACCTTCAAGCTGTCCTCACGACCAAGAATAAGCTCGCCGCTCTCACCCTCGTGAGTCTTGCCATCGAAGCCGTCGTTGGTCCAGATCTCGGCACTAACACTTCGGAGAGCCTTGACAATGTTGGCGACGTAGACACCGAAGCCAATCAGGTAGAGAATGAGGGACGCGCCGTCAAACAGGAAGTTGGCCTCGCTGGGGCGAAAGAGCTTAATGAAGAAACCGATGAAGCCGATAGAGATGACAATGTGGAGAATACGGCTAATGAGCGCTGGAGACTGGTGTACAAACTTCAGATGTGTTTCGAGGTGGTCAAAGAAGTTATCGGGCACAGGAGCCTTAGTCCATAGAAGAGGGAAATCGTAAGGGAATGAGGCAAAAAGGATGCCCAGAAAGAAGCACACAGCTAGAGATACTGATCAGCGCGAGTGCGATGAATTGACCGCGTACGGTCCACTTACGAGCAATGATCATAAAAGTGGCAAACGAGCCGGATCCATGGTAGTTCTTCGACCTCGTGTTCTTAGAATAATCGATGAAGGAGTTCATGATGATTGAGTTGGAGGGGTTTTGTAGGCGCAAAAGGTTTGTCGCAAAGTGCGGAGTTGCGGAGGAGGTGTCCCGTGATACTGGGCAACGACAATGCGCGAGAATTGGGCCAGACAAGCACTGTCGCAATGCGCTCGAGATCAAACTCGGTGATAGTGACGATGGGTGTGATAGGTAGGCGTGGAGGAGGAGGAGGAGAAGGAGAGAGAGAAGAGGAGAGGTGGTGGGACGAAAGTAAGGGTACCACCAAGCTAGGTTAGCAGGTAACCTACCTTCCAAATCGGTGGTAGACTGGAGATTTGCGGAGTAGCGTGCGGAGCCACAACTGATGTTTGAAAACAAATCCGTAAACATCATCCATCGAGTTATTCAAGTTGCCTATGGTTTGAATAATTGTACTCATTCTGACTTGATATCAAAGTTCTGATATTTCATTTGGTCATTGGGAATTCTAGTCCAGCGAAAGTTTTTTATTTATTTATTTATATAATGCATACAAGTGCCTTGCCGACAAATCCCCATTGTAGGTGTTGGAATAGAAACCTTAGGATCTGGAGGCTGATAACCCATCAACGCCACTATCAACATCTATAATCGAACAGTGAACTGATAATTCGAGTCATTTTCCAACGTTTTCTTCGTCTTGCCGATACAGAAAACACCCTTTGTCTCACGAGGTGCGCTTATCTGGACAGTCATCTTCTTTGACTTGATAGACCACTTGACTTCGAGTTCCCCTGATGGATATAGAGGAACCTTTGCACTCGCATGAGAAAGACCCAAGTGAACTCCAAGCTCTGGATTCACTATCCAGTTCTTGTAGCCAAAGCCCTGAATACCATCAGCACTTCGCAGACCAGCAACCCATTCAGTAAGGATGTAGGTTGCGGCGCCGCCCCAAGGATGCCCCAGACTAGTGAATGCACCCAGACCTGGCTGACCAGCAGGTGTGAGATACTCCCAACTTGCGCCACTCTTTGTCTCAGGGTCTTTCAGCATTGCACCCCAGACGTTGTGGATCAGCTTGGCGGCCCTGTCCCAATCCTCACCGGCGAGAATGGCCTGGAGGAGAAGTCCGTTAGTGTTAGGAGAGATCTTAGTTTCGCTATCGTCATCATCGAGAGTCGAACGATCTTTGTACCCCAGTCCAAGTTGTAGCTCGTCAAGGGCTGCAACAGCAGACACTGCTCGTTTCTTTGATGCCACACCGGATGAAAGGCAGAAAGCAGTACCAGCTACTGAGGAGGTTTTCATGTCTCCCAAAGAATAACCATAGGTTCCCAGAGCTTTGTTCCACAGTCTCTGATTAATCGAGTGGGCCAAGTCAGTCGCCAGCTTACGGTACTTTGAAGAAGTTTTCTTGCCAATTGCTTCGGCGATGTCTGCAGCAGCATTAAGGGTCTCGACCGTGGCACAAGAGCCCAAGGACCCTCCCTGAGCAGCACCGAGAAAGGTAAACCCGAAATCAGCAAGACCGCTTATGGAATTGATGTTGCTGGCGAGCCACGATAGCTGCTTCTCCCATTGGGTCCAAGTCTTTCTGGCGTATTCGAGGTCGTTTGTCTGCCGGATGTAGTGGGCGAATGCAAGAAACCCCAAAAGCTGATAGTCGTCTAGGCCGTAGACTCTTTCTAGTGAAAGAGTTCCAGTTTTCGTAGGATCGTACCCAAGATAGGGGGCTATGGCTATTTGCCCACTCTTGATTTGAGTTTGCAGCAAAAAGTCGAAAGTGCCTCTGGTGTAATTGAATCCGCCCGTACTGGCTCCGATGATGCGAGATGTATGGTAGAAGTCGCCCAGCCAAACAAGGCGATCTCTCTTTGGGCCATCAAGACAAACAGTACCCAAGTTTTCTAGTGTCCCATATTCAACTAGTGTAACTGGGCTGGTCAAAGGGTTCCTGTAAATCACTGATTTGTTCGCAGTGTCATAGGCAACGGCATTCCGGAAATATGCTGCTTGGTCTTGCCAGGCACCAAAGCCGAAAGGTCCAGTTGTAGATACAGGTTTGCCTCCAGGGGCATAGTTTGTCAAGCTTACTTTTAGAACCGCTCGTCCATTGATTGAAATCTCCAACTTTCCTTTCCGATCAAGTACTGTCTTGATCTGGTACCAAGTCTTTTCCTTCACGGAGAATGGAATTTTGGCTGAAGCCAAGATATAAGATGGCAAAGTGGTCTGGTTGACAAATCCAAACCCACTTGCTAAGATCAGAGTGTTGGGGGGCGTCACAGTGTTGTTGGTGTTGGCGAAGGACGACGTGGAAGGCATTTCTCCTGTCAACTGAATGTGGAGGCCATCTAATGCCAAAGGTTGCGCCTGGGGATGTGTTAGTGTCAAATATCGCATTGAGACAACAGTTGTGTATCATACCACTGCCCACCAGAGTCCGCCTCGGTCGATGAAAGCATCGAACTCCAGTGTATAGTTAGCGAAAGAATGACCTTCAATGGTCATTGCTGGACGTTGATTGGCAACATATGCACCTTTGTTGGGATCAATCTGCCATACTGCTGGTTGCGTGGACTTCTCTAAGCACGAATCAATCGTTGCCCGAGCACCAAGCTTCCATATGTCATTCAAGATGTCATCACTGCAGGAGAAGGCACCGGGAAGATCTCGAACTTCAACTGTGTTGATGGTCGAACCAAGCCCAACGTTCTTGATAGTTACAGAACTATCAGTCAAGAGCCGGAGGGCTTGCCATCGTTGGCCACCCTGAACGAATTTTGATTTGTAACAACCTGGCTGTGTGATGTTGAATGTTTCGACTCGAAAGCTGTTTGCCTGTCCCGTGTTGAAAAGGTAGGGACCATCTGACCACGGCTCTTTGAGGTAGATGAACGCTTCACTGAACCTCAGCTCAACTTGAACCGGCTTCTCGAGCTCGACCACCTCGAAGAAGGGTAATCCAGCACGTTCAGTCCCGTAATCGACCGTGGCAATGCGGGATCTTGAGTTGAGGGTGAATCTGCTCAGCTTGGATGTCTTGGATTTGTAACTTGCATCTACAGCAATTCCATCTGGCCAAAATGACGGAGCCACGCTTCGACATGACTTCAACGTAGAGCTTGATGTGCCTAGTGAGGCAGAAGAAAGTTGTAAGAGCGCCACAAGGATAGCCTTGAAAGCAACCATGATGGTGAAGTATAAGTGGTTGGTTCGTCAATTCTCTCCCCTCCTAGAATGCTCGTGTCCGCCGTCCCTTTTTGTAATGCTATGGAAGCAATAGCCATCCCATATCGAACTAATTGTCGGTTGAAGATACACCGAGATGATCTGCAGATTCTTGATGTTATAAATGGCGTCCAGGCTTCGGTTCGGCATTTCCTCCACATGCCGATTCCGATGAACGAAAACTACACCAGATTCAGTGTGTTTTCCCCGCATTCTGATGGAAACCTCCGATAGAGTAGACTGATAGAGAACTGTTGTGTGCTTGTTATACTTATGGAGGGACTCTTTGTCTGGACCAAGCAGTCTGAGATAAACGAATGAAATCTGGAGGCTGCGTAAAGACATACCCGGAAAGGTTCAAATGTGTCGATGCTGCTAACTAGGTAGGTAAGTTGCAGTCTTACAAATGTTTTCCCCTCTCCGATATGTAGGCTTCCTTTTGGGTCGTATAGTTTCATCATTGAACTGCTTCTCGACCTTCGCATGGCTTATCTAATGAAAACACTGTGCTAAATCGACAATTAGAAGCTCAAAAATTGCACAATAAATAATTTTCTCTTCAAATCTCATACTTTCATTCTCAGAGTCTTCGCTGTTAGCAGAGCTTACCCATTGAACAGGAATCCTAAGGCAACACATTACCCATTGTCTTTATTAAGGTCACTGTAGCCCCAAGGACTAGTCCTGGATGCTTCATGTCTTACTCGGCTTCTTAACCGAAACTCTCTCACAATATGGGATTGGCAATTATAGATTTAGCTACCTACCTCACTGGCATGCAAGGTCTTACCACCATCTCTCCACGCAACTACGGTATTAGCGAATGGTCACCGAAATCGTTTGACTGGCCCTCCGTAAGATACTTGCATAACTTGAGTATTAAACAATTCTCTCCGGGCTAGACAATGCATGCCGTTGAGTTGGAGAATCCGTCAATCTCTTTGTGCATTCCAGTGGCTGTACTACCGCGTAAATGCGCCTCCACCATTCCTCATAAATGGGAAGTGGTTTTCAAATGAAGTTATCTTTGGTTTCTTCTTGAACTGCTTTGAATCTTGTTTTACCGTGTCCCTTTCCCTTCCTTGCCGTCTTAGTTCAACTTCGATCCGAGCTTCATGAAACACAACTTGATTTCCAGAGATGGTCAATGTATCAAGGACAGCTGCAATACTGCTGAGTACTGTCACGTTCTGCAAGTCACAAGAAACGTCTGCCTCTAGTGAAACTGGTCCAAGCATTTATAGAGCGTCTGGACAGTACAAATATTATGGCTGTTACAATGAAACCATGCAGATCCAGGATTCGGCGCAGGAGCGGGCTCTGACTGGTGGCTCTCACCTTGTAAAGGCAGGCAAGATGACAGTGCCCATTTGTCTCGAGTTTTGTGCTTCGAATGGTACACAATATCAGTATGCTGGGCTTGAATGGTCAAGGTATGTTTCAAGTGTCCTGATTTCCGGAAACCTTCTAACAGATTCGATCGACAGGGAATGCTGGTGTGCGCCATATTTGTCAAGTCTTTCAGTCCAGCTCGGTGATGGAGACTGCGAGAACTCGTGTGAAGGCAATTCGTCTCAGGTTTGTGGCGGGCCGCTGAGGTTGAGCGTGTACGAACTTTCAAAGGGAGGGGATGCACCAGATGGAGTTGCCATCCAACAGATACCTAGGGCCTTGCTTGTTTTAACTATTATTTCCGGAATGTCTCTCTTAGCGGTCTGAAACACAAACAGGTTAACCCTGAGAAGAATCCAGGAGCAAAGTGTGGTAACTCATGAAAAGGGGATGTATAATCATAATCTACGATGTCATAATTTCCTGTGTGCGACCAATGTTTTCAGAGTTTCAATGGGGCCATGCCTCGATGCTTTACAGCATCTTGCACAATCACTTTGATCGCTTCCACTGATCGTCTCCAAACCTCCTGTCCTCGCCCTTTTCTACCATCCTGCTCAACTATCACATCCAACCACTTGACCAACTTGGTTGCTTTTTCCAAATCGCGTTCTTCCTGGATGACGTTTACCAGAAAAATTTCCAGAACCTCTAAATCCCGGCGGTGCGGGCCCAGCCTTCTTGTTTCTGAATGCCAAGCATCTATCATATCTTTAAGTTCTCGCGTTGAGGTAACCCCTGAGGTAGAAAATGAGATCTTGCGTGGCACTACAGGAAACTGGATTCTACATTGGCCACCGGGCAATAACCCTTCAGGATCGGGTGTGCTGTGCTTTCGCAAAGGTGTCTCCAAACTTGTGTCTCTGGCTCTCTGACGCTTTCCATGTTGCTCAATGACCTCTTTTCGCATGTCTTCAGGTAGCTCGGCAAGAAATTCTGGATCCAACTCTTCAATATCTTCGTCCTCGAAGGCATCACCAAATTGGTTCAGAGAACGGAAGTTGGTCTGTAAAAGACCAGCTTGAGCATCCCGTTGCCGCTGAGCTTTGCCAAACAACCCCCGTGGTCGACCGCGTTTCGATGGGGTAGGGGGTTTCCTCAGTTCGATTGCATGATCCTTATGTGGGGACCCGAGAGGCGTGGTTTGCCTGGTTTTTCGTCCATAGGTGGCCAGGATCTCGGTCTTCATTTCATCTGGTAACGCATTGAAGACCTCGGGGTCAACTTGAGTTGGGCATGCGTCAGATTGCATGGGACTCTGGGATCTTGAGTTGGTTATGGCAGACTCGGCGTGGGCGTCTGACATTCGTGACCCCTGAGCCATCAGTTTACGGCGAATGCTGTTGGGAAGCTCTGCAAGGATGGTGGCGTCCGCGTTACTAGGAATGATGAACTGAGTTCCAGAAATATTGAGAGGCGTCTTTGCTTTCACGTCATCGTCGCTGGCCTTGGTCAATGCCATAGCAGGATGGATCTTTTGCTTCCGAGGTGTCAATGGATCATCAGCGATAGGATCCTGACAAACTTCACGGCTCGGTGTATGCCTCTGTTTTTCAGGGCTCTCGATTTCGTCAATATGCTCCGTCGAGGAAGCTTTCCTGGCTGGTAACGGTTTTGTAAAAGTTCCGAAAGCCAACTTTTTCTGGCTACCATCAGGGGCCGCAAAGTTGGTTTTGAGAGGTTCCAGCTTCGTCATTTGTACTCCTAGCCCACGCAAATCACCAGGGCTGAATTTATAAGACCGTAATATATTGACGGCCTCCTTACCGATTGCTTGCCCGTCATTGGTGGCCACCCCGAAGGCAATGCTCTTGTTGAACGTGTCGCATTTACCATGGCCTAATGATTTTGGCGGGTCCAGAGGAGCGTCTATCGCTCTTCTCATGATCTTCATCGTAAGCTGACGTCCTTTGACATTTTCATTCGAGAGTCTTTTTTCAAGTTCCTTGCACAGATTACAGACGAATTCTTCAGCTTCCGGCTGATTGAGAAACCGAATGCCCCAGTTGACTTCCGCCGAGACGGATTTTCGAGGTGGTTGCTCTCCAACTTCTGAGCGATCAATACCGCGTGCATATTCCCGGAGTTTCTCGCCTGTTTTTGGTCCAAGAATTGATGTGAGACGCTCTTTCGAAACATCTCGCAGGTCTTTAACGTGAGTAACACCAATGTCCTCAAGTTTCCCACCGATACTCCGGGCAACCCCAGGAAGCTGATCAACTTTGAGATCCCCCATTATGTGCAAGACATCTTCAGGTTTCAGTTGATATTGACCTGCAGGTTTCGCTTTCCGTAACGCCACTTTGGCCTGTAAAATGTTTGCTCCAATACCGACAGAAACATGGCAACCTGTCAGAGATTTGACCTTGTCGCGAAGATCCTTTGCAAGCTTGTCTGCCATGTCATGCTCTCGAGCTGCGTTCTCGGCATCAGAGACCGTGCCCTTCGAGTTAGAATTTGTCAAAACGATTGGCGTTATGTCGACTAGAGCCTCATCAATACTCACACTTTGCACCAGGCCGCCAATTTCTAGGATTGATTCATAAAACAGACGGCTCGCTTCTTCGTATGCAGGAAAATCATAGGGCAGCACCTTCAGTTCGGGACACATTTCAAGCGCCGATTTCATCCACATCCCATTCTTGACGCCAAACTCTCGTGCAGGATAGTTGCAGCTTGCAATTTCTGACCCTGACCCTGTGCTGTGTGCGACAACGGCTGGCTTATCAATATACTCGGGACTCTTCTTTAATGAAACGGCACAGAAGAAGCTGTCAAAGTCAACATGCATGACGTAACGCCTCGAGCCAAGTCGCTTCTTGGTGTTTAGACAAGATTGACCCTTTTCTGCAGCAAGTCGTTGCATCTTCGATTTCAGCTCGGCTTTCCATGTGGAAAGATGGTGTAATCGACTTTCAGAATAAAATTGTCTAAGAAAATCTGGGTTGGCTGTTGAGGACTTCCTTAGCCTGGGGTCGGACAATAGCATTGCATTATGCTCCTCAGATGTCATCGGCTTCGAAGTGTTTGGGTGTTTGGATTGTGCTATAGGCACAGGAAGAATTCTTGTTTCAAGTCCAAGCATTTCGCCTTCAGCTGTCTCTAAATCCAGTGAAGCCACAGCTAGTTGATCCTTTGGGGAGACACTTGGGGGATTTGCCGGCTTCTTAAAGCAGAGACTATTGACATCTGCCATTAGAGGTGCCATGTCTGCACATGCAGGGCGAACAGGGGTCTGAGCCTTTTCGACAACTTGATTCAGAGACTGGCTAGGCAAAGACGATGCCTTAAATTGGTTCGCGTAGAAACTGTTCTGCGTTTGTTCACGGTAGCCCTGTTTCGAGCGAGGGGTTGGCGGCGACAGACTGCTACCACCGTCGAACTTGAGAACTTTTTGCCTTGGTCCTTCGTCCAAAACCCGATAGTTAGACCACGGGAGAAGTTGCCCGGCCTTGATAGAATCCATGATCCATGCCGGTTTAACGATCCGGTAACGGCTGAAGTCGACAGATTTCTTAGGGGGGAGCGTCGAGGCAACGATGTGAGTCGCCATTGTTTTCGAATCCAGGTATTGAAGAAACCCACCACCATGCTGCACAATCTCACGATGAAGACTAAGTTTTGTCAGTAAGAACCTTATCCGGGAACAAAGGATAGCCTACACGTGTAATGGTGGTTGGGTATATCCAGTAACATGCGCAACAATCCCTTTAAATATCTGAGGTTTGTCCGAGTTGGCTCGTATTTCAGCATCGAGGTTTTGAAGCTTGATCTTCTTCCGCCTGAAATAGTCGTTGAACCCATTGAATTCACTACCCTCGTATTCCTCTCCTCCTTCGTCTTCAAATTTGTGTGTTTCAATACGCTTCCTCACTTGCGAAGAGTTTTTTTCGAGAACACTCCCCATTGTGCCTGCTTCCCTGATCAACACGTCGATGTGATAATCTTGGCGATACTGGTAGTGGCGGGTGTGATACGCCAGTTAACAGAGTTCGATCATCACAATTCAGCCTCGGACGGAAATCTGATAAAGTGAGACAGCATCACACAGTGCAAAATTCATTACAACTGTTTGAAGTGCTAATGCTTTATCACTGGCGCTGTGGCGATGAAGTTGTCACGGATGTCAAAAAGCATGAGTGATGTCAAAAGCGCGTAAAGTGGAGCGCCCGGACGCGAATAAACACGAGAACTCGTGACGGATGCGCACAGCCACATACACTAGCCACCTCGAGCCAGCTCCAGAAGTTTCATCTCAATCCTTAGATCAAAACCTCTGGTGATCGTGGAAGATTCATTAAGCTCTCCACCGAGTGTGTGCTTCCTTCGGCGCTTGTCGCTGCGATGAATAACGAACAATTCCGCAAACTGCTGGCTGCGAACGCAAGGAATAACTCCGACAGCCAAAATGGTACACCTGCAGGCTCATCATCCACAGGCCCCGGGAATGCGCTCGGTTCGAGGCAAAGATCGAGCATCCCAATGACACCGTAAGCGCTTCTGCAATCCTAAGGACGAAGTTTCTAACAAAATAATACAGACGCGCTCTAGGGGGTGCACAAGCGGACTTTGCGCGACAACTGGCTGAACGAAACAACGCGGTTCGACCTCAAAAGAAGTTCAAGTCTTACGATCCAAAAGGCGTCAAACTCGCCTCGGGCTACATCGACCGATCGAGAGAACGCGACGAGAAAATAGAGGATGATCGGGAGCAGCAACTCAAAGAGCTCGAAGAGCAGCTCAAGAATGAGGAGATCGACCAGGAGACATTTGAGAAGCGTCGATTCGAGATCGCAGGAGGCGATTTAAGTAGCACGCATCTAGTTAAGGGGCTTGACTTTAAGCTCCTGCAACGAATCCGGCGCGGAGAAGATATCTATGGAGAAAAGAAGGACGAAGCCGAGCAACAACCCACAGCCGAGCCCGCCGCCGAGATCAATGTCGATGATGAATTTGAGCAGCTGGAAGGACAGGAAGTCCAGGCAGTGCCCAAAGAAAAGACCGAGACAAAAAAGAAAGGCCAACTATCTACAGTGTCTCTGGCACCTGGGAAAAAAAGAACACGCGATCAAATTCTTGCAGAATTAAAGGCGGCAAGAGAAGCTGCCAAAGCACAGCAGGGGCATGTGCTTGGCGACCGTTTCAAGAAGGTTGGCGTCAAACAAAAGGCGGGATCACGAATAGAGAGGGACAGCAAAGGACGAGAGGTTTTAATCATTGTGGATGAAGATGGACATGAAAAGAGGAAGATTCGGAAAGTTCGGCCTGGTGCTGAGAAAAATGATGAAGCCAACCGGAGCGGGCTTCTCATACCGGACAAAAATTCAAAGCCGCTTGGCATGGAGGTCCCAGAACAGTACAGGAAAAAAGAGGAGCCTGAGGAGG